CTAATTTTTTATAGATTTGAAGTTTATCTCAATTCTACATTTATCAATTGATTCGAATGATAAAAAATTCTCAAAGTCGCTGACTTTTTTTTGAAAATTTTTGTGTAAATTGCAATGCTCAGTGATTCCAAACTTTTGGCCGGTAGTGTGTTTATTTTTTTAAAAGCTGTCGTGTAATTTATTATATCTAAATACGTACATTAGATCTATTATTGAATTATTATTTTTTCGAAAGATCGGAAATTTTAATCGTTTCTTTGAAACTACATTCAGTAATTGAAAAACGAGTTCAATTTGTAAATTGAGTGGTAATTCATTTTGTCAATCTATGTTACGTTAAAATGAAGATAAATTAAAACACAAATGTTCACACTCATTCCACATGTGTGGATAGTTGAATTAAAATTATTATATTTTATTTAAAAAAATGTTTGCAAAACGTTTAATTATTGTTTTCTAGATATGATTTTGTAGTGGAAAATTCGGGTACCCACTTCTACCATTCTCATATGTCAACGCACATGCTAGATGGACAATACGGAGCTCTCATTGTCAAAGATCCACCAAGTAAAGATCCTCATCGCGATGAGTACGACGATGAACTTATAATATTCTTAAGTGACTGGACACATGAGTTATCGATGGAACGTTATCCTGGTTGGTATAGACATGATGTAGGACAGACTGCGAAGAACATACTCATAAATGGCTTAGGAAATTGGACGGTAAAGTATACATGTTTTATTATTAAATAAATCATTAATATTCTTTTTTGATGTTTTAATCGTAATGTAAAATAAATGATAAATATTCTTTTAACTTGTTATTTACTTAATTTTGAATCGTTAAAGCAATTATAAAATAAGCAATTTATTACTTTTATTCATTTTTATGTTTGCTAAAAATATTAATTAACCCTTTCGCGACGGCGGAACTAGGCATCAGTACGCCACTAACGGACGGGTCGTCGCGCCATTAGTGCACACCATGATTGTTTCGCGTTTTTGGAGATCTCAGTGTGTCCGTGTAAAATCTTAGAGGATTTCGTTGGAACAGCAGAGGACTTAAGGATGTATTGGATAAAGGGAATGTTGTCCAGGCCTTGTTCTATATTTTTAAATAAATCCAGTAATAAATCTTCAGTTTGAGTTGTTGAGGCGACGCGCTTAGTGTATGCCGGATATAACCGGCGCTAGCCAGTGTGAAGCATTTAGTGGATGCCGGATATAACCGGCGCAAGTCGCGAAAGGGTTAATACAAGTATGGAACAGGAAAAGAATCGTAAAAGTATATTGCTTTTTATGGTGTAAAGGTTTTTGACGCGATATGTAAGGAACGTGGTCGGGGTAAAATACACCCACACAATTACTCTGTGAAGTCTTTTTATTTTTTGCCTGCTGGCTCGAGAGGTCAGAGAATGACTGACTGCCTCCCCAGCTTTTTCCTGTTCCACTCTTCACTACTTTTCCTAATTGGTTAATACCGATGCATCGGGTTAACCAATCAGGAATTTCGTTACTTAGCCTACGCTTGCCGCTTGCGCCCTTGGCGCGCTTTTTCCAGGGCAGCGAGGCTTTCTAGTGGGGGGGCGAGTTCGCCGTCGGAGACTTGGCAACTCAGCGGAATTTCCTCTAGGTTCGGTACCTGTGATATGTACATGTTCGGCCTCGTGGCCCTGTACGGCGAACCTTTTGGAAATCTTAGTTTTATGACGGGGCAATTTACTATTGAGACCGTCGGTGAAAGTTTCTACGAAAAACATGCTTTGTAATATTTAAGAAAAGTTAAACAGCTAAAAACGGTTTCCTCAAAAATAGCTTTTGCTAGCGCGCCCGTCATATGTGCGCCAAGTGTGGCCTGTAGCTGGCCGCTACAATGGATATCATTTAACATAGTTTATAGACGGTGTATATGTTTAACTAACAAATATTAGGAAGAAGCTTATTAAAAATAAGTGTAATTGTCCTTAGGATCCAGATACTCAGCAGACCACCAATGGAAGTCTGACAGTATTTACAGTTCAGAAAGGAAAACGGTATAGACTCCGAATAATCAATTCATTTAGCACGGTATGTTTGGCAGAACTTTCATTTGAGAACCATACGTGCGGTGTGATAGCTCAAGATGGAGCGAACGTGAAAATGAAAACGGTGTCGAAACTAATCTCAGCTGCAGGTTAGATAAATTTTTAAATATTAGTTTCAAATTAATTTCATCTGTTACAACAGTTTTAGATTATCGTGGTACACATATACTAATTCTCTTGTGTTCTGCTCGCATTATTATGTTTCACATTATTAACACTAGTTTTACGGGACGCGCCATTTTGAATTTCGAATTTCACAAGGACAACTACAGAAACCGTTTACATTTCTCTCCTACCTTTTATGCTTATTATTTTTTGAAGAAAATCTGTGGTTTTGTTCACGCGTCAACTTGACGCGTATCCATAAAGATAGGTACATATATAAGAAATGTCCGTAAACCTAGTGCTAACAAATAGATTAGTGAGATGAAACGTTCCTTCAAAATCATCAACTGAAATAAATAGTTTACATTAAAAATTATACGGTCCTTTATACAGAGAAATTTTATTTTTAACAAAGTCAAATTTGTATGAAAAAATCGTGCAATATAAATTTCAATTAAAATTAAATATGCATTTATTCTACGTAGGTGAACGCGTGGATTGTATTTTAAATGCAAACCAAAGCGCGAGCGCTTATTGGATACAAGTGCGTGGTCTCGGCGAATGTAGAGACAAGCGCGTACAACAACTCGCTATCTTAAGATACGAAAATGGTCCCGTGCGGCCACCGTCACCTCCTCCTTCATACGATAATAATGCAGCTGGTATTGTAAGTATTGTAGCATATTGCCCATGTACTGTTAAAGTGAAACATATTCTCCAAAAATAGTTAATTCTATTTAAATGAGAATTTATTTTACTATGCTGTTTTTAAGTTTTACGAAGTATAACTTGTTTGGTATTTTAGGTATACAATCCATTGAATTCAACAAATTGTAATACGAACGATACAACAACTTCAGTGTGTGTTAATCAGGTGCAATCTGTGAAAAGGGACACTGAACTCTTGAAAGTTGAACCTGATGAGCGGCACGTATTACCTTTTTGGTTCTACAATTATACTCAGTACGGTGACAGAACATTGTTCTCCGCCAATACGTATAAAACATTTTTTGGTAAGCTTTTGATAATAAACGAAAGGATGGATGAATGAATAAACGAACGGATGAACAAGTAACGTACTTATCTACTTTATGTAGGGGAGAGTCGTGCAGTACCGGCCACTCTAAGTTTTTGTACTATAAGTTGGGCTAATGTTGGTAAAAATGAAATTTCGAAAAAGTCATTTGTAGTACAAAGGGTGCTTAATAAAAGGGGACAAATGGTTTTTCTTAAATTTTCTCATAAAGATAAATCATTCGTAGAAATAAAAAAGTTGTAATTTGCAGCGAACGAAAAATTGTCGTACAGTACCGGCCAGCTACTTAGTTGGTAGATTTGAAGGTCTAAGTAATAAATAATGTTGGTAAAAATCATTTAAAAATAGAATAGAACTTTTATCTAGGCACGTCTACAAATATCACAGGTAAAGTGATCGATATTTTCTTGATCCTTACACTCCACGTGAGCCCAACCATTGCAGCTATGAAAAATAACTTTTGTCGTACGGAAACACCAGTGTAAACGTTAAACGTCTTAGAACTCTGGTAACACTGAAGAAAAAAGAACGTCGCCGGAATACCTTGCTCAGGGCTATAGTATTCATTTGTTTTTCCATCGATAGTGCAGTCAACAGTATAAGCGAGATCTAGCTTTGGCCAGTACTGCACGACTCTCCCCTATATAGGGTGATTCAGAAGTGGTAGAAGACGATAAAACAAACACTTTCTGGACGATAAACACAAGTGCGATTTTGCTTTATTTATAAGTAATAATACGGCTTTACAAATGCAATGCTATACATTGTTTACTCGAACACAAAAAAGTGAGATTTGCTGCTTGTATATCGGTGGAATATCAGTCATATTTTGAGTAATAAACAACATGTCATTTGATATAAAAATAATGCCATTTCGGTTTTACGTTTAAGTTTTAACAATGATTAATAATTTTATGCATAGTATGATATAGTGTCGTCTGCATTTTTAAAGCCTTCTTATTGTATTTAACGAAAAATTTTTCTATCATCGTCCTCTACCACTCTTTGCTCGATTGACTTCTGGTTCTGGTTCACCACGTACGTATACGTCTATATGTGTCAATATTATTAATTTTCTTATTATTGTTATTTTATATTTGTCAATTAATGCATCCAGAATTTTGCGGGATAGAAGTTACGAGAAACTGAGAAATTCACGATTGGGATAAGCGTTTTTTTACATAAAATCGGGTTCAAAATGTAGGTGTAGTTCAGTGAGTATAAACAAATGCTGTAGTATTAGCCGCAACTACGCAGATTTACTTATGAGAGGTAACTTTGAACGTTAAAAATTTGAAGGTTACCGGTAATGGGTGTACGGTCTGCTCTTAATAACGAAGTTGGAGGTGTATATTATACGAAAAATGTTTAAAACTGTTTCTTATAAAGAAATGTGTGTTGTCGCGGCCAGTACTCTAGGATTTATTTATGTCTTGTTATAAAAAGGGTGTGTACACGGCTTGTTCCACCGCTGTCACCCTTTTATTATAGGGATTTACGGCTCGCGTTCCGAACGGTCGTCGGCAGGCTGTCAGGTGCTCGCGGATTTCGACCGGTATCACCAGCCTTGCGACGTCGTTCGGGTTTTTGGTCCTGATATAAAGGCGCGTGTTTCCCGATTCGCGGTAGACGTGGGTGTAGATAGGAGGGCTCGGACGTGCCAACGTATGGTTAACGAAGGTAGCCGAAGGAGGTGGTTTATTCGGGATTGGTTAACGACGCGTGACACCGGAGGATGTGTCGGGTGTAAGACAGGAGTGCTCGGACGTGCCAACGTATGGTTAACGAAGGTAGCCGAAGGAGATGGACCATTCGGCGTATGGTTAACGCCGCGTGCCACCGGACAGTGTGTCGTAGGTGAGATAGGAGGTCTCGGACGTGCCAACGTATGGTTAACGAAGGTAGCCGAAGGAGATGGACCACTAGCGTTTGGTTAACGCTATGTGCCACCGGATATGAAGGTGTTTGGTATTCGCGAGTCGTAGTCGTTGATATACCTCGAGCGGTAAAGGTATATCTGTCGTGGGGTTAGCTGGTACGTTACTATACTACTCAGGATGGGTTGATTGAATATGGACACGAGTAGTACTCTATATTCCTATATTCTATTATGATTACAAAGTTTAACGTTAGTCGATTCTTGACTCGGCAAGAATCTCCCTTCTCGACTTTACGCGGTGAGAGCGCGGAGGAGTCGTATACAGTATTATTTTGGTTGACACTTACGCGATGTTTTATTGCTCGAAGGGGACTGGAACCCGATCTTGCTCGTATCAATACTCTGACGGACAGAGTAACGTTATGTTCAAAATCTGACTTAGAGACTGCCCCCGATCGTCGAAAATCCTGCCCTTTTATACACCGAAAACTAAGATTTTTGGTGGTGGGGAACGTCAGATTTCCGTGGGAATGGTATGCGAGCTCATCCCTTTGCTTGGCGACTATCGGGGGGGTGCGTGTTAGACTAAACATTCGGCGCCGCACGCTTCGGGTAGAACGCGTACGTAACAGTCTATTGCCCCAACATGTTAAGCTGCTTTCGTTTAACAATAAGAAACGTACGTTCTAGTCGTGAACTTTCCTCTTTAATCGATACTTCTACTTACAATTGTTAGTAATTCTATTATTGTTAGGTGTTATTCAACCTCATGTAACGTAAATTGTTACTAATTTATTAAATCACGCGTTACTTATTATAAATTCATATTGATAAATTTTAAGTATAGAAATATATTAGAGGTGCATAATTAAAAAATGAAAAAATGAAGTTAGGTAATTTTATTATGTACGTTTATGTATGTATATACTATTTGTTTTCATTTTTATTTACATATTATTCATTTAATTCCATTGTTAAGAAAGTTTTCTTTATTTCAGATGCAACTGATTATTCTCAGCTTATTTCTACATTTAATGAGATCGCGTATGAGAATTCAGCATCGCCTCTGCTCTCACAAACCAGTTCCTATCAAACTGTGTGCAAAAAGAACCAACTTAGTAATTGCGTCCAACCTTGCACGTGTGCACAAGTTATCAGTGTGAAACTGGGTAACGTCGTGGAGCTAGTGATATACGATGCAGGTAACAAATTCTCCAAGCAAGTTCAGATTCTTAAAAATATATTAGATATAAAATACAACAAACGATATCCTGATCTTGATTTGTTATGTACATAATATTGTACATTTACTACAAGTGGATTACACGATATTCATTAGGGATTATTTAATATTAGCCGACTTTTCTCCACTATTCCTCCACGGATGCATTTCCGTACTGACGCAGTACGCATTTTACAGTCATTTTACAAATCGTTTTGCATTTTGGTAATAACTCTTCTTATCCTTCATCACGTGACACCATGGCTCCAATAAGCCCCTTGTTGCACACTTTGTAAGCTCCCTTCGTCTTCGTTTCCTTTCTTAAGCTAGGTTTAACACTAGAACTACCGGCTGGGTCAAAAATGACCCATTAGCGACTTTACAAAAGTGAATTTTTATGTAACTAAAAGGTGATTGAAAAATTAAATTCATATCGATGCAAATAGAAGTATACACGCAGAAAACGAAGTCGGAAAGTTACAGTATCGAATATTCACTTTTTTTCAAAGTTGCTAATGGGTCATTTTTGACCCGGTCGGTAGTTCTAATGTTAAGGTGAAACGAAAAGGTTTCAAAAGACGACCGTGACAAGAGTAGTGCCGAGAAATGTGGGAGAAACAGTGGACTTGACCGGCTAATGCATTTGCCCTATATTGTAAACGACAAATTATGTTACAGTACCACTAACAGACCTGCACCATCCGTTCCATTTGCATGGTTACGAATTCAACGTATTCAGTGTAGGACAGTTCAACGACAATAGAAACATTTCGAGAGATGACATCAACGAAGTAATACAGATACACACGGAACGTCTTCGAAGAGGAGAGTATAAGAATCCACCTGGTAAAGATACTGTTAAAATTCCAATGGGTGGATATGCAATCATACGTTTCAAGGCAGATAATCCAGGTAAAATATCCAATTACTTTAACTATAATTATATTCTAGATTTCGAACCGTAGAAATACAGATATCGATAAAGTTCAATGTAGTTATAAAAATAGATTTTACTTAGGGAATATTTTATTTAATTAATTATTCCATCGCAAGATTTTGCTGTCACATAGAAAATGTCTTAAGTCTTAATACAAAAGAAATAAAAATAATTGTTTGCATAAAAATAAATTAATAATATGAAATAAATTTTGTTTCTAAGAGATTTTCCCTTTGAGTAAATCTATTTCGGAGATGCTGGAAAGAACAATTTTAGAACGATTTTTTTTAGTACGAAAAAGCACTTTCTTTTCAATTATGTTACAACTTCAAATGTACCTATATATTTGTAAACTAATACGTTTGAAATATTTTAAGATGTACATATATCGTGTATTATTTTATTACAGGGTGGTGGTTACTTCATTGTCACTTTTCTTGGCACCATATTACCGGAATGGAGTTGGTTATTCGCGTAGGAGACGACTACGATATGCCACCAGTTCCAAGAGATTTTCCGAAATGCAATAATTGGAAACCAGCGTTGCACACTTTGAACGATTTCTACGGTTTCAGATATCCGAAACCTTATTAATCATTTATTTCTATTGTAATACATTCTGGAAAATTATAAATACACCTTTTCCAGAATATTTTCGTGTATTCTCTATTATTTTATTAGTATCTAGGAAACAACTTGCACCCCAGTAATTTGTATCTTTCAAATAGTTCTCCTTTATTATCTTTCATAGAAAAAAAGTTGTGGTGACATATTAAAGGAAGATAATCTATCGCACAACGATAGGTTAACATGATTGATTAACTTACAGTAAGCGGGAAAATAATATGAAATAAATATATAGAAATGCAATGAATCACATATTATAGGACTAAATCAATTTGTTTCGAATACCATGTCCGGATGTTTATTGCTTCCGCACGTTGGAAAGTTTAAAGGAACAGCTAGAAAGCTTTGGCGTTGTCCTACTTTTAATAAAAATTGCATAACAGGTATTCCTGGTGAAATTGCTGTGCTTCGTGCTTCCCACAACCAATATCCTGTAGATAGTAAATGAATCGAATGAAAAATGCACGATACTAAACAAAATAATGAACGATAAGAATAAAAGGAAATACTTACACTATACAGTATACGGTAAAGTGTAAAGGACAATGTACTTTATACGGTGACTCTTACTAATATTCGGGCACTCTTCAGAACAGCATAACTTTTTTAAAATTGGATCAGACGACTTGAGTTTTTTTGAGAAGTTAGAGGGATTACTGTACTGGATGATGTGTTCAAAAAATTTTGAAAATATTGCAATTTGTGGGAATCACGATGAAAATTGTAAAGGTCACTATTTACAACTTTTTTATTTGAGTTTATAATGACAATTTAAAAAATACGTTTTGTAGATTTATGTCAATTATACACATGCTGAAAATTTTATCGAAATCGGTTAATGTTGCTATGAGCTACAAACGGTTAAATATTGTGAAAATCGCACTATTTCACGACGTTTGGCCTATAATTGCAATAAATTTAAAAATTCTTACATCTTCTCCATCAATCGATTTCGATGAAATTTTCAGCATGTGTACAATTGACATAAATCTACAAAACGTATTTTTTAAATTGTCATTATAAATTCAAATAAAAAAGTTGTAAACAGTGACCTTTACAATTTTCATCATGATTCCCACAAATTACAATATTTTCAAAGTTTTTTGAACACGTCATCCAGTATAGTAATCCCTCTAACTTCTCAAAAAAACTCAAGTCGTCTGATCCAATTTTAAAAAAGTTATGCTGTTCTGAAGAGTGCCCGAATATTAATAAGAGTCACTGTATGCATGTATAGGGTGTTCGGCAATTGCTGGGAGAAATTTCGCTGCGTGTGTGATATGTGAAAGTGCTTGTAAAGTATTACTTCTTAGCTTTGTAGATGTTATTTTTTAAAGACTGGCACAGCAGTATTTGTGCATTTCAGTGGATTATCGACGACTGAACAATTGCAATGCGCGTATGTGTTGCGAACACATGTAGCGCATGCTGTAGAGGAGGTACGAATACGAGATAGGGTAGAAATATGAGACATTAAGGTTTTGATCTGTGCACAGTATTTTTGACAATGATTGGAAATTAAGTATTATAAAGACTATAACACCTTTTTCATTTCGACCGCAACGGAAAGTTTCTGCATGTGCATACTGAAGTGGAATTCGCTTAATTTTCAAGTAGAATTTACTTTATTGAGTTTATTTTGCGATTTTCAAAGAAACAAAAGAGCGAAATTATTCTATAATAATTGTAGTTTGAGAGTATTAATGAAGATTTCAAGTATATTGTGTTTTTGATTGTGGTATAATGACGGAAAGTAAAATACCGAGTTAGAAGCAATATGAGACTGTCTGACAATAATATGAATTTCAATCACTCATTCATGTGCCAAGTACAAAGTTAAATAAAGAAAAGAAAGGCCTAAGAATGAATTATTCTGAAAAATATGACAAGCTATTAAACTGTTAAACTGAACAAAATTGGCCAGAGAGCGAAATTTACATTGTAAAACTAAATCAATTGTAATCGTGTTGTTATATTTGACACTTGTATGTCATTAAAACTTTTTTATTAACACTTTAACATAGTCTCATAACTGATTTCTCTTAAAAGGAACACTGTCTCATATTACTACCCGAATTTCTGCTTGTCCGAATTTTCCTTAACCCCTTAGCATATGACAACGTGTCAGACTCGTGGCAGAGATTCTGGCGAAGATGTGAGAAAAATAGTTATATAAATTTCTGCTTGTCCGAATTTTCCTTAACCCCTTAGCATATGACAACGTGTCAGACTCGTAGCAGAGATTCTGGCGAAGATGTGAGAAAAATAGTTATATTAATAAGAAAAATTAATTGTAGTTCTAACTTTCGTTTGAATTTGTAAGACTGAGGATTACTAAATGTTATTAATCTGTAACAAATTAGCTTTCGTTACCTGATACAGAAGTAAAGCAGCAAATGGCTGACGCTTAGATGTACAGTCAGGAAAGAAATCATAGGTTAAGGGGTTAATATGCTTGCACGATTCACGTTGGTTGTTCATTGTAAAATGTCCGCAAAAGTTTGTCAGCCATTATGAGAGTTTCTATTACCAAGAAGCGTGTTTCTTTCGCTTGGTACGGCACTGACCTACACGTTACTCTGCTGCCTGGCCTAGCACAATTCGTGAAAATCATCTGCTTCTGGCGCAGATTTTAATTGTTAATAACTTAAAAACCAAGTCTCAAACGTAATTATTTTATTTTAAATTTTCGTCTCTTTGACTTCCAGAATCATCCATTAAAATTTCTTCCAGCAATTGCCGAGCACCCTGTCAAAAGTGTGCAGTAAATGTAACAATCCTTACCTAAGTTATCAGTAAAGAGACGAAGAATAACGTATCCTTTATTAGGCACAACGAAACTATCTTTTTGAGGTGGATTTACAAAATTACGATGTAATCTTTTGTTACGGTCTAAAAGCATAATTTCATCTTTGGTAATAGGCTGTTGAAAACTATTTCTTCCTAAAATGCTCGCGTTATAGCCATGTATGTGAAAAGTATGAGAATCATTTCCGCCAAAACCTATCGTAAAACATCACTTTAAGTATAAAATGAAAAATCGAATGAAAGTATTTGAAATTTTCTCGGTAACTTACCCTCATCTATTAAAACGATATCGATATTTTTCATGGGCGGAACTTCGATAATCTGAATACATTCACAAAATAATGGTGTATCAGTACATTGCGTTGAACGTTTTCCAAGAGAGCAAATTAATTCTTCCGGTGTGTTTTCTGGTTGCGACAATAATGGGGATGTCGGATATTTGAACGACATACCATTGATTTGTCCGACTTTCGCTCCTTTTTTATTTTGACCTTAAATTAGCATGGGAACCATATTACTACATTTATTAATATTTATTTATTTCTCTTCGTTAGGTTTAGCAAATTATTCGCAGTTACTTAAAGGATTGTTTGGTCAAGTTATATTGTTTTACTTTAAAGTTGTTTGAATTTTATAAATTCTACATTATCCTTATTCCACTTTTAGAAACTTATTTGAAAGAATAACATATTTAAGCTATATTGTATACACGGTGGTCCGCATAAAACACTTACAAGGGAAGTTTCTCAGATGATCACTTAGTTTAAAAAAAATAACGGTTGGAAGTTGTAGTACTTTACTTCCTAATAACTGAAATGAGTGCCATTCGCTTGGAAAATTTGGTTCACCATAAGCGGCCTCCAAAAATGAATATAAATGACATTTTTCCGTAATCGGGACCCAAGTTTTTTTCGCATGTCAGTTATTTTATATACATGTATTTAGAAAAAATCCCAAAAGTATAAAAGATTACGAAAAAATGTCATTTATACCCATTTTCGGAGCCGCTTATGGCGGACTTTGACGCCATTTTTCTAGTCGATATCAAATTTTGCGAGCGAATGGCACTCTTTCAGTTATTATACATATAGGAGGGAGAGTAGGTACTATAACTTCCAACCGTTATTTTTTTTTTTAAATAACTGACCATCTGGGAAACCTCCCTTGTTAGTAACGAAACAAGTGATGGTTTAAAATAAGGAATAAAATGAGGAATATCTAAGTAAGAAAAAAAATACTGTGTACTGTATACATATAGTCGATGGAACCAATACAGTGAGATCGTAAAATTGATTAGGCGTTAAATAATCTGAGTGCCAAAACAGCAGTTTGGGGAACATATGGGCCGTTCGATGTAAACTGGAAATTGGTTCTTACATTGTAGTATATTTAAAAGATTTGTCTGCGTTTTAATTTTGTAACAGTTGCAGATTAATTTTTACTAATATGGCAATTACTATTGAGCAGAAGACGACGAATGCTTGATAACGTAGGTGTAGCCTTAATGAAAAACTGTAAGCAGCAATTTTGAACATCAATGCGCAAATGACACACGGTCCTGAATACGGCTGCATCAATTGGTATCGCCGCTTAATGCTTTAAGTTAGGATCTCTTTCAATCAGTTTCACTGACTATATGAGGCTTGATAAAAAAATATCCAGACTGTGCGTGTAACTCAATATCTCGTAAGTGAAGAGAAAAACTGAGGACACAACATGATGTGGTTACCATTGGCGATTTAACTGGCCTTAAATTTACATCAAAAAACAATTTCTGTCGAGATTTACAGTGATTTTGTAAATCTCGATACCTCTTTCTTTAACTCCGCGATTTTTCAAATGGAACTCACTAAAGTATAGTTTCAATTTTTAGCGAAAAGCAGTCACCTTTATTTTCCACCCGCTACACTCACCTGACTTGGCTTTGTGTGACTTATTTTCTGCTTCTGAAACTGAAGAGTTCATTAAAAGGATGCACTCTTAAAACGATTCTAGGGACAAAGTGCCTAGGTACAAAGAGTATTTTCAGAAGTGTAAAAAACGTTGGTAACGCTATGTAGCTGACCTATGTTGAAGACCTAACCCAACTTTCTAAGACGTATTAAGGGTCCCAGTTCTAAAGGAAACAAAATGTCGCTTGAGAAGCGCATGGTATCCCAGACCTCGAACCTAAACAGTGTCTTCACCATCACCGTCAACACTCTTGACTAACGAATCGAAAACCTTCCGCCGGTTTTTCCGGAAGGGTCAGCCATTTTCCGACCTTTGACCAATGTATTTTCTGTCCGCAGCAGAGAATCTATAATAATGATTCTGCGTAAGATTAAGTCAAAGTTTCATCACTTCTTTAAGAATCCAAAATTACTACAAGGAACTATTTTAATGTGAACCATTTTCATTTGGAATAATTTTCTATTAATCAAGTTTTATGACACTAGTCCAGGTATTTTTTGATCAAACTTCGCATATATAGATCACCAATATCCGTTATGTTAATCAAATTTCTATGTTACCCCTTATATCTTGTGTACGTTTGTTTTTTAATGAATTTCGTTTATTCATGAATGCAAAATATCAAAGAAAAAATTGTTAAAAATAAATGATATGAAGAAATAAAGGGATAAAGTTATAGTTATTTATGTGTAAACGATCATCTTGTATTAAAATATTTTGTACCGAATAAATTTAAGCAAAATAATAAATTCAATAAAATATTCACATTCTTACTTAGACTTGACGGATAGAAGGGACATCCGTAAAAATGATATCTATAGTCGGACATTCCATCCGTGAGAAAGGGAAAAGCGTTTATGTCGAATGGAATATAAATAATTTGATTGGCATTAATTTCGGTTCCCTTTGAACCTTTTAGATCCAATGCACAAAGTAAATTCTTTGATATTGTATGGCAATCGTAACCATTATTCGCAATTCTAGTCTTCATATAGTCTTCAATTTTCAATAGCCCTTCGTCATTTATCGTAGCTGGTTCCGATTTTATGCCATCATATAAGATGAAAGCTTCTTGACGAAGATTCTGACAGTCCTGAAGTCCTCTTATGTCGATGAGGTACTTTCCAGGAGGCTGATTTGCTTCGATAGTTATATCGAATCTCTCACCTAAAATTAAATTTGAATGATAAAACATGTACAGAAAATCGTATATTATTGTATTTTATATAAAATGCTTATTTTCAATATTGTATAATCTTTTTGCTTTAGAGAATCTTATTCTTTGATCAATTCCAAGTACAAATGTAAAAATGTGAAATTTTCGATATTCTTCGAAAAACATTTCTAGCAGCTATCTGTTTATTGTCACGTGGAGCGAGAACATCTGATACTATTAGGAAAGGGGTAGGTCTTCTCATCGACTACGAGCAAGCCAGGTCAATGAACTGTTACACCCTCAAATATTTTCATTCTTAGTTCTTAGTTTTATCTGTATTCACTAGTCACACACTTTCACCATTGCTCATACTGGACTCTTCACCTTCCAACTCTCCTGCATAGTCCGCGTTCATTCTCCATTCTACCACGCGCACGTCACGTAACATAAAACTCTCCATCAAATAAAGTTCTATTTCTACGCAACGACGATCCCTAAGTGTTTTAATTCAGTGATACCCCAATATCTGCTCCTAGTTTCGAGGAATTGGAGCAAACCGGGCATCACAGAACGATTGCAGTTGGAACCTTGACGGCATTCATTATTGCTACATTTTTTTTAAGAGGGAACAACACTTGGCAACCCGAAACAGCGTGCATTTGTGAATTATTTTTAAGATGCATATACTTCATTGAAATGTTATTGTTTGGGGGTTAAATGTGCATATATTGGATAATATTTGAGAATATATTTTATTATTGTGGGGGGGTTTTGGTATGAAAGAGTGAATGTGAGAGAGTTGGTGTGAATGGTTTGGAAAGGAAGAACGAATGGAAGACGATCGTGCGTGACGTGTTTGTATGTAGACACCATGGGTGTCAAGCCGATCGCGGCGTGTGTAGTGTGTGTATGTGGATGCGTGCGTGGGGAAAAGGAAGAAGAGTGTGAGGTGTTGAGTGTAGAAAAAAACGAGAAACATCGAGCTGGAAGAGAACGGAATCGAAGCAGCGGTGAGAAAAAAAAGGGAGGCAGATTATAAGTGAACAGCACCGGCGTCACGTGGGGTTACTTTTATTTATAATAAACGCAAAAGTATTTAACAAAATCCCACATTATTAAACATACATATTTAACAACATTATAGAGGTCGCTGTAAGGTGCTACGCGCCGAACAGAGCCTCGTGGTTTCTCACTTTGCTCATGCTCAATTCATCTGGGAAATTAATTAAAACACTTTTAAATCTGTATTAATGTAGTTTCAGCTAAGCGTATGGAAATTAAATTATAATAATTTTTAGAAAAATGGCGGACCTTGAAATTAAAAGTTTCAAAATTTCAATAAAAAATGGGTATAATTATACTTTGAAATGAAAAAAATAGTAAACATTATTTAAAAAACATTTCCGTAGGTATACTTAAGGGGGTACATCTGCCAGGCGGTTTCAGAAAATCGGTTTTTTTTTAATTTTCGTAAAGTTTAAAGTGTGTAGGATGTTATGGCGAAGCGATATTTCAAAATTCATTTCACGAATTACTTTCCCATAGTAATTGCACTATTCGTCAATTACATATTTTACCGGTTAATTTTCTTCTACCATGGATCCCTTTTGTATACTTCTTTTTCAGTTGTCGTAATCTCGGATCCCTCTTGTGTTTCTTCTTTTATATCAAACAAGGAAGCACTGTTTAATTACATTCTATCGTTAGATAACCAACCATAAGTAACAGTGAGTTTCGCCATTGAACAACTTATTGGGTTGAACGGAAAGTTCGTGCGTTTCTAAAGAGATGTCTCTGTATTGACCGCTACATAATTGTTTCTTAGTTATTCTTTTGATTTTATAACCTCATTTAGTATTCTACCTCTTATTGTACTTACGAACATATTTGGAGCTTTTCATTTGTGTTTTTTCATTGCTAAAGCCCACCAGAAATGTTTATTGATAAGATGCATATTTGTCGCGTACTGTTTTAACAGATTCGTAAGGGAAGTACAGCTACTAAAACAATAAAAAATATTCGTGAAGTTTATGGAGAAGATGCTGTGAAGATTCGTATGTGTCAAAAATGGTTAAAAAAATTTCTATAAGGAGATTTTGGCTTAGATGATTCACCACGTTGAGATAAGGATAATTTGATTGCAACAATTGCTATAAATCGTCGAATTAGAGACTAATGGAAACTATATAATTGATTAAATGAATCAGTTTTTACAAAAACCGTACAGTAAAATGTCGTAGAATAAAAACGCACGAACTTTCCGTTCAACCCAATATAATTCAAAACAACTCGTATAACATGGTGGTTTTCCTTACTTTACATCTAAAATCACATATCTGATATTTTGATCGGATATGAATAATATTTTGTTCCACGGCCGCACATCAGGATCGATCACTTAAAAAATATTCGTCTGCCATCATCGTGGCAGGGAAAAAAATAACATTGCGACAAACAGCATCATTTAAAATACAGTCTTTCTTGTAAATGGAAGCCTAGAACCATGATCTGGCCCATATCCTTTGATATGCAAAAAATCATTTGATATGCAAAAACATTCATTAACGTTTAAAATAATTGTTGCAATATATTAATACACTTGGGATTTTAACAGTTATAAAATACAGAGTTCTTGGAAGTTTTGCGAAATTCCTTAACGTCAGGATATCTCATACTTTCTTAGAACTTATAAGATAAAGTGCCAAGGAAGTGTCCGAGACCTAACCTAACCTAACCTATCCAAACTTTTTACAGAATGTGAAGAAATTATATAGCATAGTTCACGCAGGTAATTCCACCTCCGGATCGGTGAAGATCTGATAAAAAGGTGTGATGCAAAACTGACTTTGACTTTCACATGCAAGGTCAAACGGTGTTTTCATTGCATTGTGTTTTACTCGCCGCAAGGATGAAAAATGTCACAAGAACCATGTATCGTAACTCGACCGTTTTCTTGAAAAGATAATGTTAAAGTTTCGTTAGCACGTAAACTGACTTTATTTACAATATGTTTACATTGGAAAATCAGATACGTAAGTATGGCAGTCTTATCGTTTAAATATTTGCTGGCGAACACATAATATAATGCTGATATAATAATAGTGATCGATCGATCTATTATTAATGCTTGAAGGGTGAAGTGCTGAATTTATTACGGTGCGGCGTCGTTATAACCGATACATAAATGTGCGTGCAATACTTCGTGCTATTGACGAAGCAGAAGGAAGTTATTCCTTAGAAAGGAGAAATATATCAAAATTTGGTAACGAACAATGGAAAATTACTACGCCCAGAAGAGACTCCAGATCGTCGCGATTTCCAGCGGTTGGATCAACAGTTTGGCGACCAGAAACTGGTACAACAACATTTTACTGCAGATCGAAGGGCAGGATGACCTCGCGTGCATTGGCGTAAGCAAAAGCAAGTTACTGCTTTTGCACGTGTCTATCCAGTGATGGGTTTGCGTGGCATTGCTCGTCGGGTACTGTGCGAAGAATAATTCCAGAAAAAAATCTACGACGTTACAGAATTCATTGTGTGCAAGCACTTCAAAGAAATAATTAGGCCACTCGACAAAACTTTTGTGGCTGGAAACATTGGAACGTAATCCACGATTTCGTGGAAAATATGCTGTTCACAGAAGAAAGCAGTTTTTACAGCAGCGACATTCTTAACCAACACAACTATATGATCTGAACTTATAGAAATCCTCATTGCATAGTTCAGAGGTTTAATTAGGGTCGTTTTCCTGTTAATGTGTGGACAGGAATCATTGGTAATAATATTATCGGCCCTGTTTATTTATCTGCACCATTGACAAGACAAAATTGTTTAGAATTTCTGAAGTTACCACCTTCTAACTGAACCACGACATGTCATTCCTCGGCATAGGCATCACCTCATCTATTTCATGGATGATGGTGCTCCACCTCATTTCAGTCAACCAGTTCGAGAACTATTAAATAACGTGTTTGGAACGTGTTGAATAGAACACAGACCTGCTCCACATTTGTGACTTCCTCGTTCACCGACTTTACAATGTAATTTCTTTCTTTGGGGAGCAATTAAAGAAATGGTATAATGTTCAAGCCAAGCGTTCACATCCGTGCAACAATTGAAATATAAAATAGAATAAGCTTTTCATAGACTTTGATCAAGATTATATCTACGTGAAAAAGTTGATAGAAATTTAGAAATGAGATTGCAAGAATGTTTACACGATAATAGTGGCCACATAAAAATGTACGTGTATAGGCATGCTTGTTACGAAGCATACATGAGAATGGTGGTATTTTATAGGTATTTTAAGAAGTAGAAGACGAAGAAATTAAGAATATCATAAACATAATATTGTAATTCTGAAACAGTTATGTTAAGCAAAAACTTGCCCAATTTGTATTAAAATTTAACATCATTTTTCGAGAAAACGGTTAGGTTGACACATGGTTCCTTTGACATTGTTTATTCTTGCAGCGAGTACAACACAATACAATGAAAACAAAATATAACCTTGAATTTCAAGGTTGTAGCGACCAGCTACAGCGGAAAACATTTGGCGAGCAGACTACCAGCACGGTTTATGACGTGCGCGCTTGAAAGGCTATTTTTGAGGAAACCGTCTTTAGCTTATTTAATTTCTAAAAATTCGACAATGCATGTCCGCGTAGAAACTTTCTCCGACGGCCTCAATAGCAAATTGCCGCATCATAAACCAAGGGTTTCCGAAAGGTCCGCCGTACGAGGCCCAGAGGCCCGGACCGGCAGGGCACGAGGACTTGACCTGGAGGAAACTCAGCTGCCCGCCAAGTGACGTCAGGGGAAAAACCTCCCCCGCCAAGTCGCACTGCGGTCCCCGAAAAAGCGCGCCAAGGGCGCAAGGGACACGCAGCGACTTGGAGAGAAATTACCTGATTGGTTAACACCGATGCGACGGGTTAACCAATCAGGTACGATTAACAGATAGCTAAAATGTAATGAGAAAAAGCGAGGCGTCAGGAGGCCAGTCAGGCAC